CGATATGGATGGATGGTATACGCTGCAAAATGGATGATATACGTAAATTGAAAAATAATATAAACTCGCGAGAAGACTTAAGCAATACAAACCCGCGAGAAGACTTAATTAATAGCAAAGTCGCACTTAAAACTTTAAATGGTTTATCTGAAGTAAGTGGAAATAATGTTTGGAACTAATTTTGGTCTTTGAAAATAAACATCCAAAATTCCTAATTGACAATATTATTACATTATAATAAATATGTTATTTATGATTTTCAAGTTTAAGAACCATATGGACTGTAGATTGGAAGGCATTTCCTTAGCGGTCTATGGATTGACTCAAAATGCAGATAAATATTTAATGGTATTTCAATATGCTAACAGGGGAAGTCTTCATAAATATTTACGGTTAAATTTCAAAGACCTTTTATGGAAAAATAAATTGAAGCTGCTTGAAAATATATCAAAAGATTTAACTTTAATTCATAAAGCGGGATATATTCATAAAGATTTCCATAGCGGTAATATTCTTTTAAATCAATATATTCCTGACAGTTTAGATTCTCTTAAGTGTTATATAGCAGACCTTGGGTTGTCTGCAAAAAAAGCGCATTATGAAAGCTCGGGAGATATTTATGGGGTTATACCATATGTTGCACCAGAAGTTTTTTTAGGTCAACGAGCAACACCAGCAGCTGATATTTATGGCTTGGGCATTATTATGACGGAAATGTCAACAGGACAGAGGCCTTTCGATGGTTATAAATTTGGTGATGAACTTGCATTTAAAATCTGTTGTGGATTACGGCCAGAATTTTCTGCTGGAACTCCTGATGTTTATGTAGAATTGGCTAAGCATTGTATGGATTCTGATCCAAAAAAAAGACCTACTGCTAAAAATATTTATAAAACATTTTATAAATGGAGAAATGATCTGGAATCTAAGGAAGAAAATTTAGTTAAACAAAGATTCAAAGAATCTGATATAATCCTTAGCAAAGTAGATATAAGTGGTTTAGTGAAGCCGAAGCATTCGGACTTTATGTATACTAGCAAAATTATTAACACACAGCGAATTGCGCAAATTCTAGCTATGCCCTCCCAACCAATCAGTAAACCAATCAGTAGTGTGGAAATTCCAGTAGATTAATTACTAAGCCATTATAAGTCCGGAGAGTAATCACATGAGATTTGTCGTATTACACAAATATGACTGACAGAAATTTCAAAGTTACGTTTTGGATATTCATATGATGAAAACATCAAAAACGTAGTTTTGTATCACTTTGCATAGAAATTGAGCATCTTCCGCTACGTTCCGGACAATTATTTGTCTTAGATAATGGTTATTTGTCTAAAAATTTTATGTAAAAGACAATTATTAATACAGTGCGCTTCCATCTTTTATTTTTATTGTTTGCTTAAAACTTTTGTATATTTTTTTCAACATCAGGTGGAAAGAATACGGGGTTTGGTTCAAAATCTCGAAAACATAATCCCGAAGAACGAAATCCCGAAAAAAATAGACCGGAATTAAGCTAACGCTAACCTAATTTTTCGGGATTCTGATCTTTCTGGATTTTGAT